TGTGTTGGCAGTTTTGGTGGGGGCCCGGGTCTTCGGCAAGTTAGACTTGGCCCAGGCATATCATCAGTTGCCAGTTGATGCCGCCACAGCTGAAGCCCAAACGATCACTACACACAGGGGGGCTTTCAAGGTTCACCGCCTTCAGTTTGGAATCTCGGTCGCACCGGGAATTTTTCAATCTTTTCTGGATTCGCTCCTGAAAGATATCCCAGGGTACAGCCGTTTTTAGACGACGTGCTGATTGCAGTCCCAGACACGTTGTCCTTCACCGACCATCTGCGGGCTGTGCTGCAACGTTTTGACGCAGTTGGGCTCAAGGTCAAGCGGGAAAAGTGTCTCCTGGGGTCCCTCGCGTCAAGTTCCTGGGCTTTGCGGTCAACGCCTCTGGCATCCACCCCACCGCGGACAAGGTGAAAGCCACCACACACGCACCACCTCCTGCGTCCAAGTCAGAACTGCAGGCTTTTCTGGGGCTTCTGAACTTTTATCATTCCTTCCCACCACCTCCTGGACAAGTTGGCGCCTTGTGGGGCGCCTTGTGGGGTCCACCACAAGCTGCAGCGTTCCAGGCGGTCAAAGATCTGCTCGTCTCGAATTCGGTCCTGGCACATTTCGATGAGGCACTCCCAGTGGTTCTGGCCTGTGATGCTTCACCTTACGGGGTTGGGGCGGTCTTGGGCCACCGGCTGCAGGTCCCAATAGCCTATTATTCCAGGACTCTTATCTGCGGCTGAGCGCAATTACACGCAGATAGATAAGGAGGCGCTGGCTATTGTGGCGGGGGTGAAAAAATTTCATCACTATCTGTACAGGCACCCCTTCACGGTGCTCATGGACCACAAGCCACTGCTGGGACTCCTGGCCCCCGGCCGCCAGACCCCTCAGATGATTTTTCTCCGGGTGCTCTGCTGGTCTTTTTCATGGCTGGGTACTCCTACATCCTCTTCCCCACCCGGGAAAGGCGATGGGCCATGCTGACGCCCTGAGCCACCTGCCGCTGCCTGTCTGTGATCCAGATCCAGCTCCCACTCACCAGATCGCGCTCCTGGAGTCCCTCCCAGATCAGCCGGTCCACGTCAAGGAGGTGGCTCGCTGCACCTCCAGGGACAAGATACTATGCCGGGTCTTTGACTGGGTGGTGAGGGGGTGGCCCGCGGCCAAAGAGGATCCGGACTTTATGCCCTTTGCTTCCCAGAAGGACAAACTGTCCATCCACAAAGGCTGTGTGATGTGGGGGAGCAGAGTGGTCATCCCTATGCCCTTACGGGAACAGGTCCTCACCGCTCTTCTTCATGATGTGTATCCAGGGGTGGTGCACATTAAAACCTTGGCCTGTAGTTACGTCTGGTCACCAGAGCTGGACCAGGATGTAGAGGACATGGTGAAGAGGTGCCAACCGTGCCAAGCGTCCTGGCCAGAACCACCCCGTGCCCCGAAACGGGCCTGGGAATCTTCCCACCACCCCTGGTCCAGGTTACACTTGGATTTTGTGGGACCTTTCCAGGGGCAGCTTTTCTTTATACTTGTGGATTCCTACAGCAAGTGGCTGGAGGTAGTTCCAGTACCTCCCACCTCCTCTAAGGCAGCCATCCGGGCGATGTGGTGGATATTTATTTATTTATTTATAGCGCTCAGGAAATCTCCGACACATTGGTCACTGACAACAGAATGGCGTTCACGTCCAGCGAGTTCCAGGACATCACAAGGTACTACGGTATCCACCACGTCAGGTCTGCCCCTTTTCTCCCCGCAACCAACGGCCAGGCGGAGCGCATGGTCAGGACAGCGAAGGACGCCCTCCGCCGCTTGGACTTCTCGGACTGGGACTATAAACTGGCTGCTTTCCTTTTCAGCCAGTGAACTATGCCCCACACCACTACGGGGTGCACCACTACGGGGTGCACCACTACGGGGTGCACCACTATGCCCCACACCACTACAGGGCGCAGTCCAGTGGAGCTACTTCTCGGCCACCGCCTGATGACCCGGCTGGACCGCCTGCACCCCGACCGAGCCCCTGCAGAGGCGGCAACCACAGAGACCCACGAGGTGGCCAGGGGATTCTTCCCGGAGGATCCCATGTACACCAGAAACTATACCCGGGGACCAGCCTGGATTCCGGCTTGATTGGTACGAGTCAAGGGCCCCAGATCTTACAAGGTTGCCTGTGAAGATGGACAGATACTACACCGGCATATCGACCAGTTACACCGCCGGACAATGCCACTAGAACCCAAGGACTTGGACATTACGGATGCCCAGGATACCCGTGAGCCGGCTAAGGTTGTCTTGTTCTGCTCTAAATAATGTACATTAAGCTGAAATCACTCGTCCGTCTGTGTACTTTTCATCTGGGGAAGGAAATTCACGCTGAGTGGCGACCATTCCTCATTATGTTGGTTGACCCAAGTGAAAAGTACCAATAGCAAATTAATTAAAAGAGAGTCTCCTATTATGGGATTTCAGCTTCAACATTGTGCACGTAATTGGGATAGAGAATGTAGTCGCCAATGTGTTCTCCAGAAGCACCTAAAGGTGCAGCTTGTAAAACTGGTGTGAATTATATATAGTTATGTCAGATGTTTGCTCTATTGGGATTTTAAACCTGTAAAATGCAAACACATGATACACCCCATTGCACAAGAGAGGCTGGAAAGAACCTTCCCCAAAGCACTGCTCTGAGTCCTTCTCCCCAGGCCACACAAGAGACACCAAGTAAAAGGGTTTTTTCTTTGTGCGAGTGGTTTGCGGTTTGCCAAGCCAAAGAGAAGCTGCTGCTCTTTAATGCATGTAAATAGGCCTGCCCACCCCCTTCTGCTCTCCCACCCTTGGAAAAAAAAGAGCAGCAGGAAGCATGATTGCTTCTTATTGCCTCCCCCCCCCCCCCCCAAAAAAAGGGAATGGGATCTTCACCGGACCAGACCAAATCATCTAACCTTGGTTTAAAATTGCAAAACACACAGAAGCTCCACAGCCTCAAACTGTCCAGCGATCCCACGTGTCAAGATTAAAGCTTGCCTTCCCCCCCCCGCTGTTTAAAAGGGCACCTCTGAGCATGCGAATGAAGTGACTTCCTCCCCATTACCCC